AACCTTCTGAACACCAGGCTTTCTGCACAGAGAATCTAACCCAAAGGACAAAGAAATTCACTTTCAGAATAAGACCAGCATCTAAAAGATCTTCAAACAGCAACTGGGTCAAAAGGAAACTCCCCAGGTCCAGCCCTGCAGCTGTGTGTGCCAGAAGAGGCCTGACATGATTTTCACCAAAGCCGATTTCATTCAAACAAAGCATGGACTTGAGCTCAAATGGGTCTTGAAACGGGCCCAGCTAACACAAGAACAGATCCAGAATGCACCTGCCACACTCAGGATGTCCCCAGAGTATGCATCACCTCCATGCTGCCAGTATCCACCACTCCCCCAGAACATGTTGGCATCATTCCTCCACTGTATCTTTTGACGTCTCACCACTTTCCCTGACTTTTGCTTTGGTCTCCCTGATTTTCCTCTGCATCATCCCACACCCTGTGTTCAGACAAATCCAACACTGATCCTGGGTTAGAAACAGCACAGCATGATGTACACATGAGAAGATGTTCAACCTCACTAGCAAAGAATAAAGTGCAAGTCTAAACCACAGAGATGCAATTTCACACCCATCAGATTGGCAAAACGCCACATCTAACAATATCAAGTGTCAGCAAGCGTGTGGAAACACTGGGCCCCCTCCCCCAACCATGCTGGCTAGAATGCAAATCAGTACAACTGCTTTGGAGAGCAATCTGTCAATACATTACAGCTGATGCCCATTTCCTTCAGCCCAGCAATTTCCTTCTGGACATCTTACCACAGAGAAACTATAAACATTTACACAGGGAGACAAATTTAAAACTGCTTATAGCACTGAGATACACTAACAAAACAAATTATAAGCCCCCCCATTATTAAAATCAAATATAAGGTAGCACATTCATTTGAGGGAATATTATACAGCCGATAAAACAAAATAGAATTATGGACATTTTATCAAATAACCTCATGATTATTGAATTAATATAGAGAATTGGTTTGAGCTCATATTTACAGAGTATGTTTAAAATACAAGAATCGGTACCATATCTGGTTTGTCAATGTACCATATTTGGTTTATCTAGTAAAAGTATGAAACACATGGTAAATGCCACATGTGGAATAATGGGCACTGTGTCTAGGGAGAGCAGTGATGAGGGGCGGACGTTCATGGGAGGTTTTAACTGTGTCATAGTTCATTTCTTCCCTGGGTGGGGAGTGCTGGCTGCTGGCTCTATTATTCCACATACCTTTCTGGATGCCTAAAGTTCACCTCCACCCTAAGAAGGAATTCCAGGACTGAGTGTATTTACTCTGTGAATTCTGAAAGTAGCTGGAGGGGGCTGAAAGTAACTGAATGGCAAGGAAGGCACTGGGAGCCGCTGGGCCTCTGCCTATGATCTTCATAAGGGATCCACAGCAAATAATCACAATCACCATCATGTGAATATGGGATTTACAATGTCCCTTAATTAACCCATAATCCCAGAACAGCAACGCTGCAAAAAGTCTATAGCACCAGTGATGGCAAATAATACAGGACGTATTTATCTTAAGAAAGTTTGTGCTGGTTCATTTGGGGGTATTTTCTCTCCAAAGCCAATCGAGGCCTTGGTATCACCACAAATGCCAATCGATTGTTAACAACTTGCCAGAAAGTATTTAGACCATCCAAATTAGCAACTCCTCCAGTCAGCCTGCTTTGGACTGGCTTTATGGGGAGACTAGAGTTCAAACCAGCAAGGGGTGTCTTTCTGATGATGTCACCAAGCTTAATATCATCGGAAAACCTCAACTAACTGCAAAGACCAGGTTCAGATATCTAGTGGGCAGGAAGGAGACCCACGCCTAACTAGACAAGGTTCTCTTAGCTACGAAGGCAATGAAGTTCAACATTTCTTTGGGTTTTAACCCAAATACCTGAAGATCCCACACTAGTGAATATAAACAAGCAGGACCTGCGTATGGTTAGGTAGAACACTGGGCTTCTAACTCAGAAAATTGATCTCAATCTTCAATTCTAGCCAAATATTGGGGTTCCAATTTGTCTTTCCCCAGAGGTCCAAGGAAAAGAGAAAATTCTACGGACTTAATTATCAGGTTCTAACCTAAAATAAACTCCAACATATTAGACCTAGTAGGCCAGGAGAGCAAATATTTTTTTCTTCTTTAAACATCAACCCAGCTCACTTCAGGCTGCATTTGTTAAACACCTAGCAAGTACCCAGAATGGACCCCTGTTCATAACTGTAACCTCTCCCAGCTGATACAGTTAACTCCACATCCAGTTGCCAGTTATCTTTACAAACAGAACACATGAGTCACGGAAACAAGTTATCTTTTCATGCACACGGTGAGAATGCCTCTTTTTTTATTATTATTACTAAAATAAATTCTAAAGCAGTGGTGGTGCATGTCTTTAATCCCAGCACTCAGGAGGTAGAGGCAAGCAGACCTCTATGAGTTTGAGGCCAAATGGTCTACAGAGTGAGTTCCAGAACAGCCGAGCTACACAGAGAAACCCTATTTCAGAAATAAATAAATAAATAAATAAATATAAAAATAGATAAATAAATGAAATTCTGATTATTCTCAAACTACTTGCTTTAGGTAAGTTGATTTATTAAGATAAAACCTTTTTTTATAAAAATCTTCAGTTTGGGAACTGAAATGATGGCTCAGCAACTGCTCTTACAGAGGCCTCAGGTTCAGTTCCCAGCACCTCAGGGCAGCTCACAACTACATGTACCTATAGTTCTAGGATGCAATGCCCTCTTCTGGCCTCTGTGGGCATCAGGCCCATGGTGCACAGACATATAAGCAGGTGAACATTCATATATGTAAAATCAAATTCTCGGTTTTGCAGCAAATGTTTACGGGTTTTACTTTTCCTTCATTTGAAGATGATTTCATATACATAAAAGGGTTCAAATCTGGCACACAAATGGCCTCAGAAAACATCCTGGGGCAGTACATTTTAAACCACCAATGTCTGGTAAGTTCAAGAAGGTTTGAAACAAGGTAGGTACCAACTGAAGTTACTGAGTCAATTAAGAAATGAAAGACTTTAAGAAATACCAATCATTAAGAAACATCTCCTGACCAAAAATGTATTAAATAGCTTTACAAGATGAGAAAAACTAAGGTTCCCCAGAAGTATAACTTAGCAAAGGCCATAAACACTGTACTGGCTGTACACAAGTTAACACTTACTGGAATGACACAGCTTCAATTCTGAGTGGTGTTGACTATGATCAAGTCTTCATGAAAAGTAAAAACCTCAAGCAGAAAGTGTGAGAATATCATGGAAGTGTCCTGTAATGGTCATCAGTCTGACCACTTCCATACCTCTAAGATTCTGCTCACTCCATCTGTGTGGCTATCATAGTGTGCTAAAATTGTCTCATCTTTTCCACCATCGGGCCACAAGCTAAGGAACACCTGAGCTCCTTGGGACTGTGGACCTTGTGTCTTTGTTCATTAAAAACCTGTATACAGTATATGCCAACATTAACACGGCTGGCCCTTGACAGATGTCATTCATAGGTACAAAATCTGTTACACATACACACACACTGCTGGAGACAAAACCCAAGACTCACACAGGCTTTAAGGCACTCTACCCCTAAACTACATGTCCCACCCCCCACCCCCAAATCTACTGCTTGATACAGGCATTCCCTGCGAAACACATTTTACCAGCACTACTAACAAACGAAATGAAAAAATGATTCAGATGATCAAGTCTTCATGAAAAGTAAAAACCTCAAGCAGAAAGTGTGAGAATATCATGGAAGTGTCCTGTAATGGTCATCAGTCTGACCACTTCCATACCTCTAAGATTCTGCTCACTCCATCTGTGTGGCTATCATAGTGTGCTAAAATTGTCTCATCTTTTCCACCATCGGGCCACAAGCTAAGGAACACCTGAGCTCCTTGGGACTGTGGACCTTGTGTCTTTGTTCATTAAAAACCTGTATACAGTATATGCCAACATTAACACAGCTGGCCCTTCACAGATGTCATTCATAGGTACAAAATCTGTTACACATACACACACACTGCTGGAGACAAAACCCAAGACTCACACAGGCTTTAAGGCACTCTACCCCTAAACTACATGTCCCACCCCCCACCCCCAAATCTACTGCTTGATACAGGCATTCCCTGCGAAACACATTTTACCAGCACTACTAACAAACGAAATGAAAAAATGATTCAGGCCAAGTCACATTTGGTTCCTTTTTTTTTCTTTTTTAGAAAATTCCTCAATTGAAGCAGGAAACAAAACATAACCACAAATGATATCTTCCATTTGAAGGGCCATGAAACACATGGGGAGTGAAATGCATTGCTCAGAACAACAGAGGATTATCAACAGGGGACATTTCCTTGTGCTTGGTAGCAGCTGAAGCATTCTCAAAATTACAACACACCAGCCGAACAAGCTTTACTATCTCCAGCCACACACTGCCATGTGGTCAGGCTGACTTGCCTAAGAGAGCTGATCAGGCATCACTATGGGAGGCATTCACAAGATGTAAATGGGAACCAGCTCCAAAAGGACAAGGGAAGCTCAGTGGGATGGGCAAGAGGAAGGAAGGGGATGCCGCTTAGCTCTCCATCGCAGGAAGAACTTGCTGCCAGGCTTGTTTAAGCTCCGATGAAGGAAAGAGGGCAGCCTCAGAGCTAGATCTTCGTCTGTTTATCTCCCCTAGGAAGATAGTATCTTTAAACACTCAGAACACAAACAGAAAATGTTTAAAACACACCAAATACCTTCTTTTTCATAAAGCAGCTTGAGTGTGTTGTTCTGTAGTAGACTACTCGCCTAGCATGTGCAAGGGTCTCTTTTGAGCCACTCAGTACCAAATAAGTAAATTAAAAACAAAAAAAGCAACACCTGCTAGCCCTACAACTCCTCAAACAAGCTGGGGATCAAAAGGAGAAAGCAGGAAGGATCAAGTAAGAGACCTGGTGAGAAACACAGGAACAAGTGAGACCCAGAAGAGACCTACCTGGAAACAATTCATCGTTAAGTGAGGTCTCTACACGGAGGTAGAGTGAGCTTGTATCTCACGGTGGGGTCAGAGACAGCAGTCTCCACATCACCACTCTTCTCCACTGGGAAATGAGAATGGGAGGGGCAGAACCGACCTGAGCAGCTTTTTATAAGGGGCGGGGTTTCCAGTTCCCACCCCAGCTTCCCTAGAGTGTCATTCATACCGGCTTTGCATAAGTGACTCTATGGACTGTTTCTATTCAGG